CAAACAGATGAGATGCAGAATATATTCTGGGGGGAGGGGGATGTTGCAGACCCCAAGCTACTGTCACGGGCTACATCCCACTGCTCTCCTCACTTTATGAGGAATCACAGTCTATTTTACATCCCAGTGTATTTCATCTTGCTTCCAGGCTATGTAAGCATAACAGAATAATTATAATACTATCCTCAGACAGGCATGGTTTGAAGATTCTGTCTAAAAATAATGAAATGTGTGATAATACTAAATAACTTTTTTCCCTGTCGATTATGTATTCTCCCATTATGACTATTTATATGAATTTTAGAAGTATGATTATACTATGTGACAAATTGCTGCATAAGCCTGATAAATTTCTGCAAATTGAACCAATATAAAAAATGGAAAAGCCACATTGCCAGAGTGTCATTGCCTTATAAGCTTAGAGATATAATTCTAAGTTTAGAAATGTTGTTAGTTTTGAATATTTCATTTTAATAAATGAAGGTATGTAATGAAGATAATGCTACCATTTTCATTATCTGTAATGCAAGTGTTTGAAAATAAAACAAACTGGAGCAGAGGAAGTAATTGAACATGTACCCGAAACTTATTTCCTAATAATTGAACCTTTGGACTGGAATGAAAATTATTTATTAGAACGAACCTTGTTGTGTTATGGTTTCAAGAAAAGGAGACTTGATTTGATTACAGTGAAAATTATCTGGAATAGAGGGAATATTCAACTTAGCTAGGTCTAACTAACTTTTATAGTTAAAATGTTGAATAGAAGAATGTCTACACACACACACACACACACACACACTCACACTCACACACACTGAAATCATTGTGGAAACAGAAAAAAAAAATGCTTATAAAATACAAGATGTCCTAGTAAAGCCAAAGTCCTTTAAATAACAAACTCATTTTCACTTATTTTGTATACTTAGCTGTATGTTGCAATATATATAACACATACAAGTTACAAAATATTGTATGTACACATGATATATGTGTAGTTATATATTTATATCTGACTATTTGGAAACAACAGACCTGTATGTATAAGTTTGCTTCACTTTTGCAAGGAAATATTTAAAGAAACAGAAGGTTGGGTAGGTCAGAGAACCTCCAAACTGGGTGTCAGTAAATGACATGATCGTGGTCTAAACTACTGACCACTTGCTGATCGGTTCAATTCTGAAGAGAGTCCACCAATACTTGGATGGGTTAAATTGGTCTTTTTTCTTTTTTTAAAGATTTATTTATTTATTTATGCAAGCACTGGGTACAGTCAGAAGTGCGGGAAGGTGAGAAGATTCACCAGAGCCAGAATGGGGAGCAGAACAGGCAGACTGACGAAATACACTGCTGAGGGGAGCAGTGGGTGTGGTTGGAGAGGTCTGTCACACCATGTGGGACCCTTGCTGGTGGCCGGGGATCGAACTGGCGCTGCAGAGGGTGTGGACAGCTTCGCAGCCCAGCACTCAACCGCAGTGCCACCAGGCGAGGCCCTAAAATGGTGTTTATTAATGAGAAGCAAGATCGTAATCCTCTTCATCAGAAGACATTGCTGCTCCCGAGGAAGGTAGCCTCCAGACACCATCTCACTGGAAGTTATCTTCAAGAAACCAGCATCTAGGGATTTGCCATTTCAGTTTTCTGCTGTGTGTTCTACATGGTCATTGGCACAGATGCTCAAAAGAAAAGGAATTTTTCCTCAGGACAACACACTGTCATAGAGGAAGAGAAGTAGTGTGTGTGAGAAAGATCTGCGACCAGATTTAGGTAAAGGTGAAAAATTCTGAAGGGTAGAAGAGGATGAAAAAACAGTCTCGGGCCTCCCAGGTGGCACAAGGGGTTAAGTACCACACTATGAAACAATCTGGCGGCACAATTTCAATCCCCAGCCGCCCAGAGAGCCACCACATGGTGAGGCAAACCTCTCCCTTCTTGCCTGTTGCTCCCCTCAGCAGTGTATTTCAGTAGATCCACCTGTTCTGCAACCCACTTTGTCTCTGGTGAATCCTCTCACCCCCTGAATCTCCGGCATGTACCCCAGTTTTTGCATGCATAAATAAATCTATCTTAAAGAAAGAAAAAGAGGGTGTCCCCTGGTGGTGCAGCGGTTGAACCCTGGGTGCGAAGCTGCCCGCAGCCTCTGCAGCACCAGTTGGATCCTGGCCACAGGCGAGGGTCCCACATGGCGCGCAGACCTCTCCTGCTGCAGCTGCTCCCTTCAGCAGTGTATTTCCACCGTCTGCCTGTTCTGCTCCCGGCTCTGGCTCTGGTGAATTCTCTCACCCTCCCGCGCTTCTGACTGTACCCAGTGCTTGTATAAATAAATAAATAAATCTTAGAAAAGAAAAGAAAAGAAAAGAAAAGAGTCTCTATGAAGACGCATTGAAGTCCCAGCATCTGTTTTCAGAAAATTAAACAGAAATATGAAGAATATAAATATTTTCAGCACATAAGAATTATGTATAATTAAGACTTAATATAATTGACATATTCGTGAAGGGGTGAGAACAGGAATAGACTTGTGTTTTTTTTTTTTTTTTAACAGTTCAACAGCTCAAAAATTAGTCAAGTCTAGATTTACATTTCTTTTGTATGAAGTAATTGTAAAAAAGGCCTTTGATATTTTATCTTTTTCTTTGATAACCCCTATAAGTTATTACAAAAAAGTATACATTTTACCTCTCAAGTTTGGCTCTGACAGGACTTCAGGAACCTGGTTCTTCAATGTGTTGTCATATATATCCACATTTTTTAAAAATGAATTTAAAGTTATTTTAAATTTAAAACTGACATACTTAATGCAGGATACAGCTTTTAGTTGACAACATGTCATAAAAAAGGCACGTTTTTATTTCTTTCAAACAAAAAGAATTTTAGTAGTTATATGTTTCTTTTAAAAGGTTAGGTTAATAATTATATATATGTATATGCTCATTTTCAACCTATCATCATATACAGAAAAGGCAAGCAGACAATTATGTGAGCTCAATTATTTATATTCACTGTTATGAAAGCCTGTAACAAATGACCATCTATCTTGGTTTTATAAGTACAAACAGAGGATTCTAAAGTTTCCTAAATAAGTGAAAATATATAATACATTTGGTGTTCTTTGTTGCAACATGATTTTGTTTCAATCCTTCCAATTTCCTTCTTTGTTTTATATAAAAGAGTTAAATCAAGCTGATTAAATCATTTCAGAACCGTAAAGGAAAACATAGGAGAGAGGATTAGCTCATCAGGCAGTATGAGTTAGGTCATAGTTTATCCAACCATGATTCAAGTGCTGTGTTCTCGTTGTCTGGAAGTTATGGTGATGTCAAGGGCCAGCGCCAAAATGTCTTTTATCCAAAGTTGGATCTGCTTATCCCTGCAGCCGGCTGAGCTTTAGTTTGTTTGATTCAGTACTTTTTTTATTTTAAGCCCATGATTGTCTTCAATTCTATACCTTCTTTCGTTTATAGTGATAACTATATTAGCTTATACTAGGTGTACAGTGATACTGTTAAGGAGAAATATCAGTTTATGTTATATGTCATTTTCAGTCACTATAAACAGAAGTAGAATTAATGTGAAGCATAGAAATATATTTTAAAAACTTTAATTTCGTAAAGAAAATAAGGATGTTAAGTAGTGTTTTAAACTATAAATTATGATCTTAGTGGGCATTAAATTCAATTTAGAGGGGCTTTGAAAGAATTTTTAGACTAAGATAATAAAAATAGACTAACATAGAAGGGAAAATATTCAGGCACTTATGAAACTTGCTAATGTTGTCTATATGCCAGATTATATTGCAAATTATTCGTTTTACTATTGGTCTTGAATCAACATAATCTGTAAATCACTGGTGTATAGTAAAGATGATTGGTTTGCTTGCTATACAACTCTGGGAAACTCATTGCTCTCTTTCTCTTCTCCAAAATAGTGTTAATAAAATCTACCTTGTAGGAGTAATCTGAAAACCGAGTCCCTATCATGACTCCGTCACATATTAGACATTCAATATATGGTGCCTTTTACTAGCAGTGACAATCTTGTGACCTTTGAAAAGCATCAAATTATATGCCTGGGTATCTGGAGATGGCAAGAGGAGATGGCAGGTATTCAACTCACGTTAGGCATCAAAAAAAAAATAGACTAGAGCAGAGATGTGTTCAGATAGAGCTGGGCAAAGACGTGACAGCCTAGAAGAACTGTATTTGTTTGGGGTTACTCTGCATTCAAGGTAATCCCAGGAGATTAGGAATCCAGCCTGTCAGCCATCCTGCACAAATGACTCTCATGTTACCAAATGTACTTCACATGATCTTTGGGATTCACTTTCAGATCTTGTCGGGTATAAATGATCTGGCTTCAGAGGCTTCTCTGTAAAATGGAAGTAAAATTTTATTATGAATGAGTTTCTTAATCATCATCAGCTGAATCATCTGTAGTCATCAGCTGTTGTGAACAGCATTCAAGTTCTCTACCCTTGTCTTGGAATAAACTCACTGAAGGATTTCAGCAATAAATGAAGAACATATTAAAACCAAACTACTGTCATGCATCCTTACTTCTCTAAATGCGTACCTTATTTTTGATCCAGATGTTTGTTTATATACTCTCTTGTTCATGGATTTATTCCTTGATGGCAGAAAGGAAGTCTTACTCATGGTTTTGGCAAATATGTGACATATGTACATGGTTTTGTGAATAAATGTTTCTTGATTATCCCACATAAGTCATATTGTGATAGACTCAGATTTCTTCTTCATTTTTTTGGGGGGACAGTCAGAACAGAACCAGGTCCTGAATCTTAAAGAACTCTCCATTATTTACAAGTTATGGAATAAATCTGACTCTGGATTTACAGCGCATTTGGTTATGCTGTGCCTGACAAATATATTGCTGTCTACATGCTCTATTTGTTATTACTCCATATTTTTTTCTTGCTGTCATTTTATGTTTAAGAGTACCATTAATATTTGTAAGAATATAAAGAAAAGTATGTTTTCTAGGTCTGAAGATGAATAAAGGTACCCTCAACTCTCCCCGTACTTCTCCTGCAAATACAAGTTCCCCAGAAGTGATCCATCTGAAGGACATTGTCTGCTACCTGTCTCTCCTTGAAAGAGGAAGACCTGAGGATAAGCTTGAGTGTATGTATTTCTTCATTTAGTTTATTTATCATGGTTGGGATTAGGGGAAGAGAATGGATATTGATGGGTTGAATGAAAATTGTATATATTCTGGTTGTTTAAATTATTGTTAAGTAGAGAGACCTTGGTTAATAATAAAACAAATCTCCAGTTGACAATCAGATAATAAAGGCTATTAAGAATTTATTGATTTTCAGGATATTTATACATTTATTACAAAGTATTTCTTGAGCATATTTGTATGTCAAATGACGTTTTAAATGTCCCTCAATTCAGTAATAAAACAATATTGGAAAGTATCCTTTGAGATGTTTTGGGAAAAAAAAAAGAACATATATTTATAGCATGTGAAGAGACTTTTTTATTAGTCAGCAGGAGGGTTCAATATACACCTACAACCTGAGCTTTCTTCTTTGGAAATCTTTCTTGAAACCATCAGCACCGTCGCTTTTCTTTGCCAGGTGCAGATAATTTATCAAACGACATACATGAGATTGTCATTTATAAGATTTGACGCTGGCTATTATAAAAAAAATAAACAATAGCTCTGTTCCATTCTTCTACAGTGTAGCAGGTATTTGAAATAAGATTTCTAACTAGTTGAAAGGAAATTATTGTTCTCTTTTTACAATATAGTGACTGAGCTCCCTCTGGTGGCAAACTGTACTCACTGCAGTGTAAAAATAAAAATATTTACTAAGCGTGATAATTTAATAATCTATTTTGTCTCCAAGATCCTTGCTAAGTATAGAGGTGGTGACTTGTTTGATAATCTTGGTTTTATTGATTATTATTAAAGTTAATAAAATATTGCTATTGCAAAGGTATAAATCATACATTTGATTATTCTAATGCAAATAGACTTGTGATGTCTTAGAATTATGAATAGGACCATGTTTAGTTAAATTTTATAGTAACTTGATAATATTTCTCTTATTAATAAAGAATTTAACATAATTTTTAGACTATTCTTGCTTAAGTTATGAATAAGTCTTTTTAAAAAATCATTCTTTACATATTTATTATTCCTAAATGTTGCCCATTTGCATTCAATATTTATTTGTATTCTTGAGAACTTAGAGAAATAGCCCTTATTCCAAAGCAAATATTAATGTTCTATGACTTTCTCTGAAGTGACGCCAGAGAGAAAGTTTGCTCAGGTGTTATCAGAATCATTTTGGGGATGATTTTTCTTCATCTTGCTTTCCCTAACCCAACCATATGTCCTTTCCAAGAACTTTTCCTGTCCTGAGATCCTCTTATTAGAAAGTATTTATTCATCTGTTCCTAGAGACCCTTAGAAAGTGTATGTATGTGTGTGTGTATTAGATTTTTAGAGTGATTTCATTTTTATCTCTCCTTGGTATCAGTTACCAGTCATCCGTGTTCCTGGATGGGAACATTAAACCTGGGCTGATTTGCTGCCTTCACATTAAGGCAGTTGTGATACTTTATGGACAGTCATTTAAGTTCGCCCCATTTTAGTCTGTTTGCTTTTCTTATCCTGTGACTTTACCGCCATTTAACTCAGTCCTCCACTTCAGTTTCCATACCCTAAGCCTACTAATTTCCCAAGATTGCTCTTACTCTAATATTTAAAACCCTCATATTCTATTCCACCCAAGCCCATATTGATGTAACTTCTCTCTGTCCTGCTTTTAATTTAAATATAGCATAGCACAATACATAAAAGCCTGGACTCCTGACTTCACTAATTGAATCTGAGTGACTTGGGTACAGTAACTAACTAACTAACTAACTAACTAACTAACTAACTAACTAACTAACTAAATGACTGACTTAATGAATAACTTCAGGCCCTAGTTTCCCCAGCTATACAATTTGGATCATAATAATGTCTATCTCAGATGATGGTTAAAGGGGTTAAATGAAGTGATACTTGCTAAGAAAATCTTTGCATTTAATATTACACTTATTGTTAAATGAAATAAAAATAAGTTTGGAATTCTAACCCTTTAACTCTTCATTTTCTGCTGAATTTATCTGCAACTCCATCCCTTTGAATATAGACTGACTCCATAATCCAACATGTCAGCCATTCTTTCACACCTAGTTTCAGTCACCCAATTCATACACTGAGATGGTAGAGATTTAGTGAAAGAAAAAGGTAATTTCATGGATTATAACTTTAAACAAAACCTCAGTTGGATGTCAGTACCTGAATTGTTCTCTGATCATCAGCATCTTTCAGTTAAAAGTTAATACAGATGCATAAAAGTTAATCCAGATGCATCATTTCATCCAGCACCTACCTGTTTTGTCATCGTGCTCAGTAGCAGTGAATTCTTGCAACTTTCTCTCATATTTCTAAAAAATGCCACCATCTATACCTATTACAATTCTTCCTGCTCTTTCTTCTTACTCAGTCTGACTACATCTCTTTGATACTCCTTAATGAATTATACATAAAATTAAGTCCTTGATCAAGCATCCATAAACTGACCTAACTTGACAGTTTGACCCCCACCTAGTTGGCCAGTCTTGCATTGGCTCTGACCTGTACACATGTGCACAAATAGCATCCCAGTCATGCAAATCTATTTTTCAATTACCTGACAAGGCCTGAAACTGTCCTTCTTCATGACTTTGCACATGTACCGTGTGCTAGCTGAGGGTGGTCTTTCTCAGTGTTTTTGGATCCAGTCCAGGCTATACTTGACGACTAACTCATAATATGAATCCTCTTGCCGTCTCCTAGCACAATTAATTTTGTTCTCCCTCCTTATGCTTTGCACTGGGTATCACTTCCCTCCCTCGTGCCCACCACTGTGTGAGTGTATTTGAATAGATAGGACGCTCCATCAAAGATTGTTAGATGGACTGTATTGAAGTCAATGTTATGAATAATATGATAATTAGTAATAATAAATTTGTATAGTGACTTTAAAATACATGGTATTCAGGGCCTCCCCAGTGGCGCAGCAGTTGAACGCTGGGTTGTGAAGCTGCCCGCAGCCTCAGCAGTGCCAGTTCGATCCCCGGCCGCCTAGCGAGGGTCCCACTTGGCGCGCAGACCTCTCCTGCTGCCCACTGCTCCCCTCAGCAGTGTACTTCATCATTCTGCCTGGTCTACTCTCCGCTCTGGCTTTGGTGAAATCTCTCACCCTCCCGTGCCTCTGACTGTACCCAGTGTCTGTATAAATAAATAAATAAACCTTTAAAAAAAAACAAAAACATGGTATTCACATTTGGGTTAGTGTATATAAATTATTAATGATTCAATTAGAATAAATTTTAAGTTAGCTTTCATTTACTGAAAATGTATCACTAAAGGGAAATCCATAGGAAGATAACCAGAAGATAGATAATCTACATGCAGATAATGAAGGCAAACTTGTATGTTCAAGTTACTACTTATATATATTAATATTAAACCCACTGAAATTTAGCATTAAAGAGGCCCTAAAAATCATGCCCTGAATCTTCTGATTGCATCAATGAGAAACAAATGCACAGGAACTGGCTATAAATAATACCAGCAGCTTATCTCTATATAAAAAACATGATTTATTACTTACTATAGATATGTTGTTTTTACTTTGAAAAATCCTTTCTTTATTTTTATTGTTGTGACCCTTGCAGATAAAAAAGGAGATGGTATTCCTCCATTAAGTTAGATGGTAAAAATTCTAAACAGTTATTTTTTTTGAAACCTCTCTGCCTTTAATGTTATTAGCTAGGTTTTGAAATACATGTAATAGTAAAAAAGTTTTAATTTAAAAATTTGTGTTTCAATGCCATTTAAAAATACACATTATAATGTTTAATAAAAATTCTACATTAATATTTTCATATTAATTTCACATTATGCAAAGTATAAAATATCAGGTATATATAGTAGGATATTCAATGTGAAAATAGATTAAAAAAACTTGAGATACTTTTGGAAGAAAAATTATAGATATAAAGAATTACCCTTATATTGCATAATATGCCTTTGCTCTGATCTTTTAACCAAATTCATGCGTGGGCATGAATAATAGTTTCTATATCAAGTGAAAGTGCATGAACATAAAAATAGAATAAAGTAAGTTAAACTAGCTTAAAACTTTGTAACAGGTATTCATCTTGGGAAACTATCATGTTGACAGCATAATTTAAATATTGGGCTTAAATTATTTTTGCATCTAAAAATCTACATACTTTTACTGACTTTAAAATAAGATACATTTTTCCAGTGATTCACTGGACCTTGGTGCCAAACTTCGCTTTCAAATTGTTAGAAAAAAGTTTTATTGTAATATTTGAATATAAGTGTTACTTTTATCAATAATATTCAAATATCATTTTCAGAGTGAAAGGATCTATGAAGGCTTACCAAGTTAAAGAACTTTTCTATGGAGTTAATCTTTACCTCTTTCCTCTTATTTAATTATTTTTTATGCCTGCATTACTAATTCCCAAATCCTCCACCATAAATTCTGGTTTAGAAATTTGTGATCTTTATTTGTTCTTTAATTTCTGCACTGATAGTTACCTTCTCCTTTTTAAAAACTTGCTCAGTCTTTCTGGAACCATATTTTTGAATGTTGAAATGCCAAGACAAAACTCTGTATTTTTATTTTTTCTTTATTTTTCTATTTTCCAACTTTCCTTTTATGACTTGCATTTAACATCTGGGATATTTCCTACATCCGGGACTATTTTTTCACTTTCTGTCAGACTGTTAATTCACAGAGAATTCATGTTGTTTTTATTTGATCCCTATATGTTCCTATGCTTATTTCATGGACAAAAACTTTCCTCTTGAATTGATAAGGCTACATACACACACACCCTCCACGCTTTGTTAGTTTCTTCCAAATTACTTACTTTTGAAGGGACTGCTTGGTCTGAAGTGTGACTCATTGACACAAGGACAGGGACTTACACTCTCAGTATCAGTAAACAGATTTCTGTATAATTACCTTGTCTTTGACCAGGACTTTTACAGAATTTTTGAGAACCCTAAACTCTGAATCCTTGTGGTTTGCCTTAAA